AAAAAAAAAAAAAAAAAAAAAAAAAAAAGAAAAGAAAAAAAGAAAAATAAGAGCTATTAGCCATGTATTAACCGAGAAACCACGTATAAACCAAAGACTATGGAAGAGAGAAAGAAGGGCTGAAAGGCCAAAGGGTGAAGGAGTAGGGAGATGTAAAAGAGTTGGGAACAAAGCCCATTACATTTGATGTACTAATAGCTCCAATCCATTTAAATGTTGACCAGTTAAACTGAGACCTTAAAATGCAGGATGTGGGTAGAGTTTAATCTGGTTGGTCATAACTTTCACCTAAGACGTAGCTCCTTCAGAATAAAATGAATACAGACACAGCTTCATGTGCTTCACCTTGCTTTTCATAACTGTTTTGAGTTTAAATGGATTCCACTTAAAAATAATCTCCTACAGGTGAGTGGAGCTTTTTCTTTCCCATCGAAGCACACACCAAACCCACCATCCCCCTCACACCTTGCTGTTATCCAAATTTAAGTCAATCAGGAACGCTTTTAGTCTCACACCTAGGTAATGCCTGTAGAACTGGCTTGTCACACACACGCTTCTCTGCTAGGAGGCAATGTTGGTGCAGAGTACAGTATTTACAGTTTGTTGTTCCAAGTATGTACAACATGCAGCACTGCTCTATCAGGTAAACATGTGCACAGGGGAAGATGAGGCGTGGGCTCATAGAAAGCAGTCCAACGGAAATCAAAAGGACTTTTCTCTTTCAGAGTTCCCCTATCTTTATTTGTAGAGGTTATCCAATAATTTCTTTAATTACATTGCATATTTCTGAGTCCATTCCCGAGCTATTCTGTTGTACTTTTCTCTGTCTGTTTTTGTAGATCCGAGCAATCTCAAGCACTAAAGGATCATCTGGATTGGGATCACACAACAGAGAACAGATGGAAAAGAGTACTTTTGAAATAGTTAGTGCTGGAGACCACTGTGACCGCAGAATATCAAGACAAATGCTGCCATTACTGTTAATATTTGGATGATAAATTCTTGTTGTAAATGCAATCTTAGGTGGTTTGAAGGGGTAATGTGTTGGGAAAGGTCAAGAAAAATACTCCACCCTGATAGGGACTGTCATTTAGCCCCATTATTGTAGCTTGCCAATGGAACATATCATCTCCCACAGGACCTGCTGAACACTGTGTTGGAGGGTCACGGGCCAGGTCATTCAATTCCTTGTGGATTCTCTTCAGAGCCCTGGTGAGAGGCGGGTGGCTGCGGCCCCCGGGGCGGGGACGGGGGCGGGGGCGGGGGCGGGGGCGGGGGCGGGGAAAGGGCTAGGGATCCTGAGGCCGCTTGCGCGATCGCGCTCGGCCGGGGAAGATGGAGAGTTCGGGAGAGCGGGTCCGGTGGGACGGGCTGAGGGCCGGGTCCCACTCCGCTCCTGGGCCTGCAGCAGCGGGAACGCATCACCCGGCGCGTCCCCTTTATTCGCCGCCGTCGCCGCCGCGGGACCTGTTTCTTCCTCCCAGGACCGCGCCGCCTCCTCAGCCGCCGCAGATCCCTCCGCCGGGAAGAAAAGCCCA